TGAAGTTAGGACTTAAGTTTGCACCCAATCAATTGTTAGTTGTGGACAAAAACAGCCATTCATTTATGGGAGTTTTAATTTGATCAATCATCGGAGCTCAATTTTAGAGAAATCAAGCATGCTACAAGGCAAATTAAATGACCAAAACTAGCTTTAAACTAGATTCACAAAGAGATTGTATCAATGTATTGATTAATTCTAAGCTTCGTAGCCGTACTAAAACAAAACTATGCAACCTACAAAACTAAGAATGAAATTAGGAGTTAATTTTACACGCATTCAATTCTGAGAGTTTCAGTTTTGTCGAGCATCGGAGCTTGATTTCACAGAAATCAATCAAGCAAAGAGCACATTATTTAGATTAAAAAAAGCAATAAGTTAGTTGTCAACAGATAAAAGTTTTTGAAATAAGGAATTTTGTATAGCTCCGTTTCAAACACATGTATGCACTCTGCAAAAATGAGAAAAGATGTTAAGGTTGTACACAATCAGTTGTTATCTATGGACAAAAACAGCTAGTCAATTATGGGAGGTTCAGTTTAGCCAAGCATCGGAGCTTGATTTCAGAGCTACAAGGTAAATTAGACGAGTTGGAATTGAAGCCTCCGAGTGTCAACTGGTTTCAATGACCAACTTAGACGAGACTACGCAACAAAAACTTCCTTTGGATGCGAGGACGCACCGCTCAATCGATTGAACGCAGAGGCGAAGCGCATTGATGTTGAATTTGATGAATAAACTCTAAATATATGACTTAGCGTTAAAATAGCGCAAACACAAAAGTTACCCAGCGGTAACTACGCAGAACTTACGTGGGTATACTCCATGGGATGAAAAAAAAAGAGAAAAATTTCAAAACCCGAAAAAAAACAAGGCCCAGTCGGATCTCTATCAGCAGACCTTAGACACACAGGACACGTGTTTTATAACTAGACCAAACTTGAAGTTTACATGGAAAGTAGGGACGGAGGAGAAGACACTTAGTTCTCAAGAGCTATTTAGGAACCAATTAATATACAAAGAAAAATTCTCATTTCTAGAACCGTGCAAAACATTGCGACTATTTATATCATAGTGATATAAAAAATCATCATTTTCTCTAGCAAACAGTCAAAGATCTACTAAATCCGCATGGAATTGTTCCAGTGATTCGTTTTTCTGTTGTTTTCGGCAGATGAAGTTGTATCTTTCGAAGGCAATTATCCGCGTTGTGACTAAAATGTCTTCCGGTATCTGGATCAACTCTTTAGTGGATATTGTGTGTAACTCAAGTCCTGAGGGTTTTGTTGTAGCTACCTTTGGCCATCACCCCTAAACACAAGAAGATTTAGCTTCTCACCTTGGCATCTGCTTCGTCCCATGGGAAATTGTTGCAAAGTTGTCCTCTTTCTCGAACTCTTGCTGTTTGCTTTTCCCAGTTGACCTTTTTCTCCCGATTTCGTATATATCGTTTCCGCCTCAGTTTCACCGTTAATTTCCATTTCGTAAAGTGGTTACCTTGGTTCTATAATTGGTGGTCTTGCATGAAGTAGAATTCGCACTTCTATACCGCCTTTAGCGAGGATGGCCATCTCCATCATGGCTGTCCATTTTGTCCATTCCATTAGCGGTTCCGCCCTTGCGTTCTGCCAGAATGGTGGAATGCTCAGCGGGTTTTTATATGCTGCTGGCTGCGCCGTGTCATACCGTGCTGTACGATCTGTTTTGAATCCATACGGGTTTATGACTAAGGTGATAACTCAATAAGAAAATAGAAGTAAACTGAAACATAATCTTTTTTCTCAGTTCTGCACATGTTGTGCTCTTAGCAATACGGACTTCCCGTATTTCTCAAGGTCAGCTGACCTGTGGTATAATTTATATAAATAGCTAGAAAAATGTATATATGTACATCACTAACATGTCGGACCGGCCGGATGAAACTCTCCGTGGTCTTTTAAACTTTTGTCTTTAATAAAATATGAAATGAGCTCAAACTTTTGCGCCGTTTATTAAATGGCTGCTTTTTTTTCAATTGCCTATTAGCCTTTATAGCTGCATTAAAAGGATGGTGGCGAATTTTAGGAGTGTGTGGACATCTTCGAAAAACAGAACTGCATTCATTTGCCGTCTGTTTTTTTGAATTCTTTCAAGAAACGTCTTATTGACTCTAAAATGGCCTAGAAACCAAAATTACAAAAACCGCATCTCTCGACACTAAATTGACACCGTAGAATTGCTGTCAGCATTTAAAAAATCCCACTGAAAATGTTAGATATGATATACCACTCAATATTTTTCGACGAGATGATTCCTTGTGGCATCTGATGATTGCGTTAAACTAAAGCTCTTTCCACATGACCACTCTTCTGCTACTCACAATTAGTGATCGGAACAAAAACTCGCCGGTTCATGCAACCCAAAAAGCTAAAAAATGAAGTTAATTTTTGACTATTTAATTGTTAGCTTTGGACAAAAGGAGCCAGTAAATTATGGGATAGTTCAATAAGCCAAGCATCGGAGCTGAGCTATGAGAAAACCTGCGAGCTAAAAAAATTTATTTGATCAAAACTTGCATTCCATTAGAATCACCGAGGAAAATTTTTTTTGGATTGATGGATTCTAGTAAGCGTCGTTTCAAACAAAAAGATGCAGTCAGCAAAGTTCAGAAAAGATATTGAATTTGTACCCAATCAATTGTTAGCTGTGGACAAAAAAGCCAGTCAATTATGGGACTTTCAGTTTAGCCAATTTCCGGAGCTCGATTCCAGAAGAATCAGGCAAACTACAAGGCAAACTACAAGCTACAAGAAAAATAACTGCATTAAATTAGGTGTCATCAGATAGAAATAGGAATTTCAGATTGATGGACTCTTTTAAGCTTCGTAGCTGGATTCAAGCAAAAATATGCAACCATCAAAAACAAGAAATGAAGTTAGGAGCTAAGTTTGCGCCCAACTGATTGTTAGATGTGGGCAAAAACAGCCAGTCGATTATGGGAGTTTCAATTTAGCCAAGCATCGGAGCTCGATTTCAGAGTAATCATGCAAGCTACAGGGCAAATTTCCTGAACAAAAATTGCTTTGAATGAGATTTCACAAAAAAAAACTTATTGGAAAAATGGATTCTTCTAAACTTCGTAGCTGGATTTTGAAAAACATGCAACCTTCAAAACTAAGAATTAAGTTGAGCGATAATTTTGCAACAGTTTAGTTTGCACCCAGTTGATTGTTAGATTTAGACAAAAACAGCCAGTAGTATATGGGAGTTTCAGTTTAGCCAAACATCGGGTCTCGATTTCGGAGGAAACAGGCAATTTACATGGCGAAATACTTATACAAAAATTGCACTACATTAGATGTCATCAGATAGAAACATGATTTTTGAATTGATGGATTTTTTCTAAGCTTCGTAGCTGGATTCAAACAAAAATATGCAACAAACAAAACTAAGAAACGAAGTTAAGATTTAGTTTTGCTCCCATTCAATTGTAAGCTGTGGACAAAAAAAGCCAGTCTATTTGGGAGAAATTCAAAATAGCCGAGCTATTTGGGAGAAATTCATAAAAGAGTTTCTGGTTTCATGAGCTTTGCTAAATGTCGTTTCAAAGAAATATGAAGTCTGCAATATAAAAAAAGAAATGGCTGGGTTAGTAGCTGGACTAAAACAAAAAAAATAAAACTTACAAAACTAAGAAAGAATTTAAGAGTTAGGTTTGCACCCATTCGATTGTTAGCTGTGGACAAAAACAGCCAGTCAACTATGGGGGATTCAGTTTAGCCAAGCATCGGAGATCGATTTCAGAGAAATCATGCAACCTATAAGGCAAATCTTCTGAAAAAATAAGTAAACAAGGTGTCAGCAGAGAAAAATACGAGGTTAGGGTTGATGGCTTTTTCTTAGCGTCGCAGCTGGATTTGAATACAATTATGCAATCCACAAAGCTAAAAATTAAACTTAAGCTTTTAACCACTTTATGTTTAGCTGTGGAAAAAAGCAGCCGGTATATTATGGGAAAGTCCAATCAGCAAAGCAACAGAGTTGAGCTATTGTAATCCTTGCAAGCTAAAATGCAAACTTTTTAAACAAAACTTGCGTTTCATTAAATTTTGTTACAGAGAATAAGATTTTTCTCAATTGATGGATTCTACTAAGCGTCGTAGCTGAATTCAAACAATAACATGCAACTAACAAAACTAAGAAATGAAGTTAGGACTTAAGTTTGCACCCAATCAATTGTTAGTTGTGGACAAAAACAGCCAGTCAATTATGGGAATTTTGATTTGGCCAATCATCGGAGCTCGATTTCAGAGAAATCAAGCAAGCTACAAGGCGAATTAAAAGAACAAGAACAGCTTCATAATAGATTCACAAAGAGATAGTACTAATGTAATGAGTGATTCTTCTGAGCTTCGCAGCAGTACTAAAAAAAACTATGCAACCAACAAAACTAAGAATGAAATTAGGAGTTAAATTTACACCCATTCAATTCTGAGAGTTTCAATTTTGCCGCCGAGCATCGGAGCTTGATTTCACAGAAATCAAGCAAGCAAAGAGCACATTATTTAGGTTAAAAAAGCAATAAGTAAGTTGTCAACAGAGAAAAGTTTTTGAATCAAGGAATTTTGCAAAGCGCCGTTTCAAACACATGTATGCACTCTGCAAAACCGAGAAAAGATATTAAGGGTGTACCCAATCAGTTGTTAGCAATGGACAAAAACAGCTAGTCAATTATGGGAGCTTCAATTTAGCCAAGCATCGGAGCTCGATTTCAGAGAAATCATGCAAGCTACAAGGCAAATCATTTGAACAAAAACAGCTTTAAATGTCAACTCCTCTAAGAGCATCTAATGTTTTCTCAAATGTATCAATAACCTTTTTTGGTTTGTAAACATAATTTTGGCAACCCTATTAACCTGAAGCGAACATTTGAGAGAGGAAAGAAAACTTTCAGGAAAGAAAAACTAAAAAACATACTTTTTAAAAGCAACATACTTTTTATATTCAAAATTAAGTTCATCAATTCCTTCAAAAATACATGTACTACGTGCATGTAATTGATCTAGGTTAAAAATATGGTTCGATGACAATCAACCCAATTCCAATTTACCCTATGCCATTCTATCCTATACTAATCTACCCTATATTCCAATCCAATCTATGCCAAATTACGCAATGGCAATTTACCCTATGTTCTATAAATAATTCAATTCGATTGATTAGAGATAACTGAGATCACTATCTCGGTTAAGATCGCCGGTGAGCATAGACAAAATATACAGTATAGTATAGACCAAATCCTATTTACAATTAACATAAAGCGAGATAAGTAAAGATGTTGGTTCGTTCATTCTGTTTGAATTCCTCTTTGCAGCTTGAAGTAGTTAGCTTATGTGTTAAAATATTTTTGCCAGTAGTTCTAATGTGGTTGGTGAGCCATCTTGATTCTTTTGCAGATAATAATCAGAAAAGAAAACAGCTTCCTCTCCGCTGCTCAGATTGGTCACTACAAAATATTCTAGATCCCATTGTGTCTCTCCTCCCTCTCCAAATTCGATTTCCACTACCAGTCTCTCCATTCTGCCCACGTCTATCAACTGCAGCTCAAACTTATTCTCAATAAACATATTTTTATGCATCTTGCCAAGTTTCTGTCTGCCCGTGTTGCCATTCTGACCAAACAGTGTGATGAATACATCGTTGTATGTGTGCTGACAGCCCAATTCGACACTGTACTTGACTGGCGACTGTGCTATAAGCAAAATAACAAAACAATCAATTACTCATTCCATTTCATACTCACATTCAACTGCAGCTCATCTAAGGTTCCATCTACTACAAAGCACTACTATTACTTCATATAACTGTTATAAATAAATCAAGTAAAAGCAGAGCGTAAAAATATGTGCACACTATAGCTTTATGAAAAACCATGTGCGCATTTTTTATTGTAAAGAAACAGAAAATATCAAAGGACACAGAAATGAGGGCAAAAGCCGTTTTTAGTCACAGAAATTGTGACAAAACTGCAACGAATTTTCCAGGTCACACTTATTAAAGTTACAACGCAAAGGAAACAAGACGATGCAAATACTCAGGTAAAATCAAAACAAAAACATCTAAAAATTGTTTGGACGGTAAATTAGACAAAAATTTAGACAAAGATGTTTAGGAAGTTAGACGACAAGCAAATTAGACGATGCGAAAATAACAGAATTTAGACAATCTGTAAACAAAATTACGCAATTTGCACGCGACTTAAATTAACTTTTGGCTGAGTAAACAATGGTTGTCCACAATAAATCAGGTTATTACTGTACCAGTTGTGTAATGGAATTTCAAAAAGGTATTACACTTCGATTTGATGTCTTACACAGAGTCGAAGCTGTGCTTCGCAAACCCCGGCGAGAACACGACAAAAAACGGCTCTATAAAGTGCAAAAAAAGTTAAAATAAGCCTCGCATTAGTAAAAGTACGGCTTCGTCTCGCATTGGAAACCACGAACTACTGGGACCAAGATATTATAGCTTGCATGCACTAACCACTCACCACGGACGCTTAATTAATCCAAACATTGCCCAAAAGTAAAGCAGAGAGCAGATTTGCAACTTCCAATACTACAGAGAAATTTCTATCCAGGTGAACACTTTCCATAAACACTTATATTTGCCAGCTAGGTTAGAAAAAAAAGAAGGTTCGTACTAATACACCAAAGGTCGCAAGCTCGAAAGAGATATAATCAACTTACAATAATAATTTTGATCACTTCTGAGATCATATATATTTTTGTTTTTATGCACTTTCCTTCTAAGCAAAAAGTTTTGTTAGCCTAGTTCTTACCGTCTAAATTCACATAGAGTTATCTTATAAAATCCGTATAAAATTTCCTAGAACCTTTAGACAAGAAACTAAACAAGAAACTAAACAAAAAAAATTTAGACAAGAAAATTAGTGGACAAGAAAATTAGACAAGGAAATTAGACGGGACCAAAAACACACATTTTTCGAGACGTACGAAATTAGACGTAGTTAAGCATTTATTGTGCCTGCAATCATGTTTGACGTTTTATGGTGTCTGAAGTTTGTTTACAGAAGACAATTAACTTTCGTTTGGCTTTTCTTAAATGCAAATCAAACTTAACATGTCACCATTCTACAAATTATGCATTTCAAAAACGTTTTTCAATATTCAGATTAACTTATTATAAAAATAATTTAATAAGAGCAATCAAAGGATGAAATCTACAGACATTTAAATTAATTTTAAGAGCTTGAACTGTTCTATGAAAACAGAAGTTTTCATGAGCAAGCTATCAGGCGATGAAAGTTTTGAAAGACTTAAGTTGCTTTGATAACTTGAATCGGTTCCAAGAACTTTTTCAAGCTGCAACATGTTTTTCGAGCAGCTTTTGAAGTTAAGAATAATTGACAACTTATAATTTTCTTTGATGGCGTGAAATGTTACGAAAAAAGTCCAATCTCGCTTATCTTGAAAAAACTGACTTAAACTTTGAAAATTTTATTGATAAAATAAATCAATTTGAGAAAAAACTGGATCAATAGGTAAAATTTATATACCGATGGGGAATCTGAAAACTAAAAAACACTTTCTAAATTAGAAGCCGATCACGTTTTTCGTGTAGACTGTACTCTTTTTCTGTTCAATAGCGGAGTTTACCTTCATTCCAACAAAAGAAATGAACCTAAATCAGTATAAATAACCCTGCGCGCATATAAGTTTAATCAAAAATAAGCTTTAAAAAGGGCTTAATGATTAATTTTATTAATTCAGTCAATCAAAAAAATGATTAATAAAAAAGATAATTAACCAACAGAAAAGGGGGGGGCTTAAAAGAGCATAAACATTCATTTCATTTTTTGAACTTAATTGAAACAAATCGAGAGAAAACCATCCAAGTCCACTTAAAACAAAACCAACTAAAAACATATTAGACAAATTAACCTACTTTTAACTACCTGTAAAACAAAACAAAAATTAGCAACTTAGCCATTAATGTTGGTTATATAAAACTGAAAACACTTACGTTTACCGGGTGCTGATCTCAGAGTATTGTTTTTATTCGCAATAGTTGAGGAGTTTTTGGCATTCAGGGCCTGGATTGCAGCTTCGATACTTTTATCTATTACTTTGCACGATACAATCATTGTGTTCATTTTTGTAATTTCCGCAGAGTTTTTAGCTTTCAAATCTATCAGCTCAATTTTGATACTCTCTTCAAGTTTAGTAACTTGTTGCAGATCCTGCACTCGTTTGATATCAGGTTTCCTGCTCATCAGCGCATTTGATTTGTCCGTTACTGTCAAAATTTCGGCATTTAGATCAATAATTTGATCTGTGAGCTGTCTAATAGTGTTTTGACAGCCCTCAAAGAGTTGCAGAGCTTTCTCAGTTTTCTCAGTGGCTTGCTTTAGATCAATATCTTCTTGCAGTACAACAAGATGAGCTCCATGACTAGCTCTCCAGCAATCCTTGCAAATAGAGATTTCACAACTGCTGTTTTGACAGAAATACTTTTTTGCTTTTTTATGAGTTCGGCACATCTTTTTATCGGCTTCACTGGTTTGAGATCGGGCAGGCACATCTCTTGACTAAAAAAATGAGAAAAAGTTAACATCCTCCACCCCAGCGTTCAATTTGAATTAAGTTTGCTAAGCGCTACATGTAAAACATGTAAAATGATCTACTCTGATTGACTGAATATTCGAACTCAGAACTAAGCTTACATCCACCTCTCCCTACCCCCACCCCCCAAAAAATAATGAATTATTTTCACCAAATATAAAAAAAAAGTATTATCTGAAATATTCGACACATCGATGCAGCCATACTCATCATACCCAAATCATCACAAAATTTTTACTCGAGCTTTTCCCACCTGTGAAAAAAACTAGGACCTTTGCCGTGCCAGGCGTAGTTGTTACCTTTAGACCATGTGTGTTGGAGAAGCTAACAAATTTGAATTCATCGTAAGCCAAGCGATCAAATAATTCAATTGATTCTGTCAAGCAATAAGTTAACCCGCCAAAAAAATTGAACTCCGATTTGAATAACACTTGGTAATCACAAGCATAACAAACCAAAATAATATAATAGCTTTCTATGATAATTTAATTAAAAGAAAACACGTCTAAATAAGCTTTATGCTCTCTCGAAAAAATTACCCGTGTATCTTCCTGTACATCTTCTCTACTTGAGATTTAACTTAGAGATGGTAGAAATTTCAAATTGATTTTAAAAATTCTCTTTTCGAATAATTCCAATTTGATTTTATAAATCTCTTTTCGAAAACTTTTTCCTTTAGACGTGGGCTTACTAATTGGCAAATATTTTCTGTTATGCCCAAAATTATTGATTTGTAGATGAAAATCTTTACCGCAATTGCAGACTTCAGCGTAAAATTCTCCACGCAATGCTTCTCATTTCGAACTCTATCCTCAATGGGAGTCCTGCACTCGGGGCATTGTCTGGAATAAGACTGTATAATCCCTTTGAGACAGTTTTTTGGAGAAGAGCAGTAAGAGTGCCCACACGAAGACAAAATGCGAGGGTTCATCAATGTTTCTAGACAAATAGGACACTCAAATTGATCACCACCTGTGGCCATAGTTATTCAAACTGTGTGGTAACAAACAATTAATGCAAAATTATAAACGAATTAATTTTGTTTCAAGTTTTTTAGCAACGAGAGAATAAATACTTGAACATAAAGTCAGCAGATATATTGTTCAAAACGCAAACCATGAAGCTTTTATTTTTTGAAAAACCACACGAACAATCTTTGACTTTGGTTAATATAAAAAATGGCCACAACTAATTAATAAAAATACATTTTCTAAAACATAGACAATAATTTGTAGTATTACCGTCTCTGATTTGCAAAATGAAGAATTCATTTTTAAACCATCTCAATGTTTAGTTAAATAAAGTATAATACTAACGTTAACAACTACCCATATTTTGGTAAGTTTAATAAACATATTCAAATCTCGTATAAATATCAACCAGCTAAATCATGCTATCCAATAGTAAAAACAAACTCAGAAAGTTCTTGATTAAACGCTTTTTTATCATATCAATACGGACTATCAGATTCAAAACCATGCCTCAGAGGTCTTTGTTATTTGGTCAATTATGACTGCATGTTAACACCATTGGTCAAAACCATTTGGTCAATCATTCACTGGCCTCAGTTGTTAGCGGTTGAAATGAGTCCATTCTAAAATTAAGAAACTGAGTTGCAATTTGCAATGCAAGCAAACTCGGGAGTGCACTAAAAATCGTCTTTGGTAAGAAGAAGGACTGGTATAAATCAATATAGCTTGTGCAGAGCTAAGGAGTTATTAAAAAAACACCACACTGCTGAGCTTCTTTTTTTAACACTATTAACAATGCAATCTAGAATTAGTCTACTTTCAAGAAACCAAGGTGCTCTTAAACTCAAACATTCTAAAAAGTATCAAATTTTGCAAGAAAACATGCAGTATATCCAACTTGAGCAAAAATAATGAAAAAAAAATCTATTATGATTCATTTCGGCAAAAGCTTTTGCATGCCTAATAGGAATGGAAAGTTTAAAAAATACACTTTTGACACTAATTTTCATCATTTCAGCTTCTGAACAATAAACTTTGCAACTTGTTCCTTCGACTAAACCCTCAATCTTAGATTTGGCAGGGTAGTTTTTCATTAAAAAAAGTTTCCAAAAAACGGTCCCAAAAATAAACAGTTTTTTTCCCCAGAAGCAATAGCTTTTTCTATATAAAAAGGGCGCACCAGCTTATATAGCAAACAATCCCGAAATCTGTAGTTTAAAATGTACCATTACCCTTGAAATTGGTAGCTTACTTTTTGAGAACAGTCAAAAAGTTTCCAAAGAACAGTCAAAAAGTGTAAATTGTGACTTTTCCATACTAAAATTGGGGCGTAGCCGCTTCTACCGGGAAATATCTCACAACCTGTTTTATTCAATTCTTTTTTACTCATATTTGGGAGGGCAGTTTTTGAGAAAAATGGGAACATTTCGAAAAATGAGCAAATTGTCAACAATTGGCTTGTAATGCGGCCATAACTTTTTTCTTTTAAAATTAGTGCGTAGTGGCTTAGACAAAATATATCCTCACTACTTGCTCTTTCCATTGAAACCTTAATCTCAGATTAAGGTTTCAATCCGAACAAAAACAAATCCGAGAAAATGAGTCAAACATTCCCCCGTTGAAATTTTCGATGGACTTTGAAAATGGAGTATGGGGAAAAGAGACTTAAAACATGCAGACACAAAACGTAGCAGCCATTCGTTTCGTTGGTCTCGATATTTTGAAACAAGTCTCGAGCAAAAGATATCCCCGCTGCCTATTCTTTTCATTGAAACCATAATCTCAGATTTGGTGTAAGAATCTGAGAAAAAAACATCCGAGAAAATGAGTCAAACCTTCCCCCCCCCCCGTTGAATTCTTGACAGCCGTTGAAAATGGAGTAAGGTGGAAATATACTAAATAAACATGCAGGCAAATTATGTAGCAGTCATCCTTTTCGTTGGTACCAAAATTCTGAAATCGGCAAAGTAATTCCGAAAACAATTACAAGTTTTGAGAAACGTGAAAACATTTTCCAAAGCGTCTCAAAAATGAAAACCCTGATTATATCGAACACGACTTTTTAGCCCTCGAAATTACCTTAATAAAAGTAGACTAAGCCAAAAAAAAACATTCAAAAAAACTTCAAAAAAAATAAAAATAATCAAAATCAGATTTGGCAAAATGACAAACTGGTAATCTAGTAAAATGATTATCTTGAAAACGAAACAACATCCATTCTTTTCAGAAAAAAAGACAATAAAAACTACCGGATAATATCAATGCTATTTAAAAAAATGAACTGACTGAAACTAGGACGAAAACCACTGACCCGAAAAGTATTTGAAAAAATAACTACTGCTGGAAACGATTACACCAATTTAGTACCTAAATCAAGGTGCTTTTATTTGAAATTTCAAGAAAATAAGCAAGTCTTGAAATTTATCATTTGACCATTTTGTGAATAAAATTATTAAGCGGAAGGTCTAGTAGCCGATTGCAATATCCTTGCTTATCGCAAAGGTAAAAAATACTAGTTATCTAAGATTAGAGAGAAAACAACTATTCAAACTTTTCTAATCATCTTATCCGAGGGCTAATCTCATGATGGAAAGGCCGAATGATAGAAAATTTGCAACCAATAAGAATCGTTAGACGTTCATATTCACCCAGAAGTGTTTTAAACAAAATCAAAATCAAAATTAGCGGAAAAAGACATTTAAGTTGTACATCCATATTTTCATTTTGTTGAGATACTGAAAAAAATTTGCTTTGATTTCAAATCGATATTGTTGAAGTTTTAGAATTTTACTTATGGGATTTTAAGAAATTGAAAAATCATATATCTGCTGATGTTTCAATCGGTTATTTTTATTCTACTGTCCTAGTTTTATTCGCTTATGTTTAAGTTCTCGCTATTTCTTTGAGATTTTTCAATTCATTTCTGATTGGCTGAAATTAGTTTTTCATCATTCGGTTCCTCCATCATAAGGGACGTCACCATCTTATTCGAGAGTTTAATCAAAGCTGGCCGGGGAAGAATAATTTAAGAGAAATTATCAACAAAAGATGAAACCCACAACAACGGGTCCAGGACAACAGGACTTCAGACTTATGTTTAAAATTACAAGCAAATCAAAATGCTGATTTTTTTATCTGCAGAATATTGATTTGAAAAAGTTAGTCAAATATAGTCCCTAGCGCTAATCATGACAATGGAAACTTAGTAATGACATCCATTAGTTAAATCAGCTAAATTATGAAATGCATAAATTATACACACAAAAAACTTCACCAAACTTCTTAAAAAGCCAATTATACTGATACAAAAAATTATCAAAAAACTGAGAAAAGTTCAAACCATCTTTAAATTATGCATATTTTATGACTTTTTGAAAAAAGCTCGGCTTAAAGTCCTTTGTTTTTCTACTCGGCCTGATGTCCGGCACCCTTACACAACAATGTCAGAAAATTTTCTAGTTTTCTCATGCTCAAATTCGCAACTTAATAAGTAAATACTTAGTTCTATCATTGACGATGCATGAAAAATCTTTTTCGAATTTGCCAGCGAAAACAAACAGCTATCAACAAATTTTGTGATAAATTTATTAGATAATTTCAGACTGAAAATAGAAAATGATCAATCTCATTTCAAAATGATGCCGAAGCTCATCATCCACCTACTCTTCAGACTTCAAGACCGGACGCCTAATGCCAAATCAAAAACAAGAAGAACGTGCATGGCACTGAGTCCTGCAGACGAAGAACCCATCATTAACAAGTTGAAGGAAACCAACGAAAAGGCCATTGAGAACAAAATCCCGGATTTTTGAGTGCTGAAGAAAGATCTCAAAGTAACAATTGGACGAGTGGTGAATGAACTTTTGGCTGCTACAAAACCGAATCTTCGGCAGGATCGAAATGAAATAGCTTAAAAAGAAATTGGTGTGAAAGCCATGTGCGCGGACGAACTGGTAGAAAATTATAACAGGAGAGATAATTTAAAGATATTGGGATATCCACACCAAGTTGGACGAGATGCAAGTGGAAACAACTTACTCAAAAACTGATCAGACGATCAGCGATGTCACACAACTATCTATGGTGCACAAGTTACCCCTCCGGATATTTCTATTGCTATCGATTGTCGAAGCGCGTATCTAACAGGAGCCGACCAATCATTGTATTGATCTCATTAATGGTAGCAAAAACCGATATTTTGCGCAAAGGCGTTAAAGATTGAGAGCAAAGCGCTCAAAATCATGTGTATGAACATCTCAAAATTGGGTTAAACGTGGCTTAAGTTTATGCGATTGATGAGACTAGATGCACGAGCCCAGGCAGTTTGCACCAGAGAAAGGAAGTTAATATGGAGTGGAAAAACAATGAAAACTTTGGCAGAGCAAGTAGTCTCTTTGATGAAGCGTTGCAGCTGAATTACTCAATAGAGTGTAAAATTAGTTGTTTTCCGAGCAACAATGATGTTTTTGAGGAACCTGTGGAACCTAATATTGTTCGCAATTTAGTTTCTAATTATTATTATTATGATTAGTAAAGGATTTACAAATCAAAATGATTTGAAGGGATTGCTACCTGAAACACAACAATAAAATCAACGAAACTGTGAGCAGTCACAGGCAAAGCGCCAAGAGCATGGATGTTAGAAGTTGTAGTCTGTATGAAAGTAAGACCAAAAGAACTTCAGTTAACGTTGTTTGAGGCCAACCAGAGTATAGACATTAACGAAGGCAAGGATCTGATTTACCACGCGTCCAGTTCGGAAAAAAAAGTTTTGTCTCGAGCTCTCTTTCTTCACTTTCGGGAGATCAACGAAAATTGCGAAGTGTGAACGAGTACTAATAGAGCTCTTGAAAGTGATGCACTTATGCCAGTTGAAGTCATTCACACCATTCACGATCTTTGAGAAATTCAGGAGGTCATAAACTTGAAGATTCAGCGTTAGTGCTAACAATTTTAAGAAGACTAAGCGATCTCTGTAAGTACAGTCGTAACTAAGGATCCAAGCTGTGGCTCACTTCTGTACCTGTTCAAGTTTTGTGAGGGTGGCTTTCGATGGAGACCAACTCCGAGAACAATAGGTCAGCACCGGTAACACCATAGACTTATACAAGTCACATTTGGTTCTCCAAGATGCGAGAGGAGATACATTTCTCATCAACATATGTAGCACGCAA